TACGGATTACCGTAATCTCGCCCTATGTAATATCGAATGTCAGAGGAAGATCGAAGCTGATCGTTTCGAATGAACGTCATTAGTTAGCCTGACACGGTCGTTCGGCACTCGATGAGATGGCACACGCGAGAGGCGCGCAAACTTTGCTCGATGGCTGCATTCAGCTTTCAGTTCAATTGCCACTTTGCGCGAAACTCGCCTTGAAACGAGACATACTACCCCTACCCTGTTATCTGAACTACCATGACACCGTGAGTACGAACGGGACAAAGCTTCCTTGCTCGATGAACGCGTAGCATACGACGCCAGCAGAGCGTCTTCGAATTTCCATCCTTGACGTGTCGAGTCGACGAAAGTGTTTCTCCTGCTTGAAACTCGCGCTCCAACGTTTGTTCGATGGAACCTGCCAAGAACAATACTCGCGACGCTCGTACTCGCAGGGTTTCAGGATTTCTCGCGTTATTTACCAACGTACCGAAGAAACAACATATCGCTGGCATTAACGTTGGAACGCGTTGACGAATTTTTCTTGTATTTTTGACCGTTTGAGTACTCCACGCAACCTCGAGCATAAGTGTATCGACACTTCGTTGATTGGAATTACTTGAAGTTAATTGTAGCAACGTTATTAAATACAGCACAGAGATTAACTTCTTCAAGGATATCGTTATTTATTATTAGACAGTTTCTAAAAACTATTCAATTTTGTGTTCCGTACTACGGTAAGACGTTTCTACTGATTTCATCGAAATGTCTCCGGTAGAAGAGCTACCTTCCAAAATAAATAAAAAAAAAAAATGTAGCATCGAGAAGTTACAGCTCCCTTTCCGATACCTGTAATAAAAGTTAACGTCGAGACGGGACTGTGTTTGCTCATTGCAACGAAAGCAAGGGAATTTCGCTATAAAATATTTAGTCACCCTTTCCAGTGCCCGGGTTATGGAAGTAAAATATCGTAGATATAGAAGAGGCTCAAGAGATTCAATTTCTGGAACGCGTACTTCGAGCAGAAACGTTGGAGTTCCAATCCTTTTCTTGATAGGTACAATAAAGGGACATTGCAACGAGCCGGGCCTTCAGATGAAAATTTCAATGAGAATACTTTCATTTCTCTATGCAGAATTCAGTCCATTTTCGTCAAAGATATTATTCAAAAACAAAAAGAAATTTATGCAAAGAGAAGAAAGCGCGTCAGTTTAATTTTTATGCAAATTCGTATTTTTACAGGTTCAGATAAAGAATTGTCTTCGAAAGAGTGTAATATGTACTTCATTATTGATATTTGATATATTTTCGAACCGATACGTATATCTTCGTACATTTTCCCATATTTTTACTCGTCATAAATTCATAAACATTTGCAGTCCTATTAATATATCGATTACAACAAATCTTCCTTCCATTGAAATGCCAACATGATTCCGACACGGTAAAATTCGTTCGAAGTACCAGCTTTCGGGGCTGTTAAGGAATTTTCCCAAAAGTCTCTCGACGGTTCCGGGATGCGCAGCTTCGATGAAGTTTCAAGGTAGTTGCCGCGTAACCACGTGTAATTTAGCCTGTAATTTCGAGATGTTATCGTTATAGCAAGCGGGGCGTGCTCGATACGCCTCATTGTAGTATGATGTAGGTCAATGGCGGGGATCCGTCTCGAAATTTCAAGCAACCAGTTACGGTCCCGTATTGACCATAATCAACTTCGGGACGAGATTAACGGATCGGATTATCGTAATTCCGGTTAACAGGGAAAATGTTCCGAATTCTATTAACGTCCACCTGCTACCATCAGCCTCGACTAATCGCCTTACCGATGAATAATCCTAAGAAAATGTTTAATCAGCGATCCCACGACCAGAAATATCTCCAAGACGGTTCACAAAGTAAGAACCGATGGAGAAGTTGGTTGCCGTTATCGATACACTGGATTTCTATACATTCTACAAACGAGAGACAAGATTCAAGCTGGGGATAGGCAAGCAATGGCGAAAACTCGGTATCACCGAAACGTATAATACGACACACTGGCTACGTCTCTTTATTTGATCGATAGTAGCCAGTTTCGAAGGAAACGTTGAATTAGGGGAACGGAGCGCCAGGCGGGGAGTTTTTTCAGAAAGGGCGAGGGACGTCTGAGTGCGCGGTACTTAATCGCCATTGTGAGATTTCTCGAGTGCGCTTCAGCATGAAGATTCCCCTCTATCTAAGGGTGAAAGATACCCTCGTCGGCTTCTGGGCATTCCGCGACCCTTTGTGATTCGGTGACCTATCTTCGAGGGCCGTGGAACACAATGCGAAGCAACGTTAAAAGTACTTGAACGGGAAACAAAAAAATACGAGGATTGTTTCACTGGAGCATCCTGCCACGGAATATTTGCGGCTTTCCAACCCTGAAGTAAGACGATTTGCGCGAATCAAGGAGATTTCATCGCGGTAATGGTCTTAAACTTGCGGCACGCTCGGGGAAACGAAGTCGGGGGCTGAACTGAATGAGGTGTTAAAAAGGAGTTCGAAGGAATATTTTCTCAGGCGCTGTAGCATCTAACGCGCGAATCTTGGTCTGTGCATTTATTAAAATAGTTACAACGATAAATGTAGGGATGACTAGTGCAATGGTACCGAATACGTCATAGTCGATCCAAATATAGTCGATCCCAACCCCCAAGAACGCCAGGAGTTCTCGATACAAGTCCTCCTTACGTTTCTCTTCCAACTAATAAATTTTTGTATCCCTCCCATCTCTGATGGCCTGGTAACCACGAATTATCCTCGCATCAATTGATTTTCAATTGCAAAACCACGGAAAACGACGCGTATGGGAGGGAGCCATGCAAAATTCATAAGACCAATCGACCTTTGTCCGAGGCGGTGGATTTACGAGCATAACCGAACGCGAACGGTTAGATCGCCGCGAGTTCACCCGGAATAATCCTTTCCTTTTTTCGTTTCCTTCGGGGCGCAAAGGGTGGAGCAGGGAAAAAAAGGGGGTCGAGACAAAAGAAGGAACGGCCAAGACGGTTACTTTGAATTCCTCGTTCTCTTCGAGTGGAATAAAAAAGTTTTTTTGAAAAAAAAAAAAGAAAAAGAAAAATTAAAGAAGAGTCGGCGAAGTATTCGCGAAGGTGGTGTCTTACTGATTTCCCCGGGGGTGTAATCCATCTCGAGTCGCTCTCCCTGCGCCCTTTGGTTCGTTCCCCGATTCAACGAGGATCGGGATTATGGTCGTCCGCGTTCGCGATCCACCGCGGAAACGTAATTAACGGTCGATGATGTAGAAGCGTTTTCCATTTTCGCCACGAAGAACCGGATGGACCGAAGTTCCATTTCCCCGCGGAATCGACCTCCCTTTCGGGAGGATGGCCTGGCTACTGGTGATTATTTTTCAGTGTAAACCATAATATTTGTTCTTCTCTCTACCCTTAAAAAAGAAAAACATTCTAAACTAGACAGCAGTTTTAAAAAATACAATTGCCTCTACAATCAACACATCATTTCAGTTCACTTATGTCATAGCCCCCCCCCCACCCCACCCCCCGCCCCCTCGACCCACGACTGATCTTCCCTTGTCCCCCAATGCATATCACACTCCCGGCGCATTCCCGGTCCATTCGTAATTAATTCTGAAAGCAGGAGTGCAGCGCGACAAAGATCGTCCAGAGTTCGTTTCACGGCTCTGTGCCGCAAGATTCAATTAAAAAGTGCTTGAATAAAATTCTCGGCGTTACCGAACGGACCATTAAGGCTCGCCTTTTCCGACCCGGCCTCGAGAATCCCTCGCGATTCGCTGGCGAGAAACGTTCAATACAATTAGAGCGCTCGTTATTCGCCGAACGATTTAAAAGGTCTTCAATCACTTCGAAAAGAACGTTCGGTAAGTTATTCCGCGAGACGTCGCAAAAGTTGCCGATAGAACGGTCGGTTGGACGCACGAGTGGACGTTCTTTCGATGATTCGTGAAAATGGGGCGACAGGATCCGAAGGGAGGGGGGAGGTTATAAACAATAGACGGAGGCGAGGGGTCTTCGTTATTTTCAGGCGATCGATTTCCTTTTGGAAAGTCTCAAATTGAACGAACGAGGGCGTTTTTAAGGATTCGATGCGCCGTTCATTACGTAACACTTCAAAATAACCGCAGCTCTTTAACTAAAAACGATCCCCCGTATCGATAATCGATACGCTCTAACCAGGTTTCCTCGTAATTCTGCCAATCTTCCGGAGAAATCAATCGGCTCGATATCGTCGGAGCCTTTTTCCCTTGGAAATTAGCGGGCTTTTCGTGGTGTTCGCGACCCCGTTCGTAGGCGGAAACGAACGACGCAGGGAACGGGCGTCCCGACGTCTAGAACGCGTCGATCTATTACCTACACTTTATACCCAGTCGGCCTTTGTACGGGGAAACCGAACGTCGAGTGCGCCGGATACACGTAACGCGACGTTCCCGTTTTCGCCACGGAATTTCCTTCTCTCGGAGGGAAAGGCATCGCCCACGTGGTTGGTTACGAGCTGTCGAGCATATAAAGTGGAACGAGTAGAGTGTGATCCGTGCAAAAATATAGCAAGTAGTTAAGGATAATGCGGTGGATCCTGTCTAAGAGGCGTTGAGTCTAAGATAGGGGAGGTGGGCGAAATTTGATCGATAAAGCTAACATCTCAGATATTTAAGAAATGCAATAGCTCGATTTTTGTTACGTTCTAACGTTTTCGACTCTCCCAACCCTTCAACTATCGGGCTATTTAAAAACTTTGTATTACTAGTCTCCTCGCGTTTTTTTTTTTTTTTAATTTTATTTTCGCAGTAGACTACATATCTCAGCCCTTTATCAATATTATCCTCAACACGAAACTGGTCCTGTGCATAGCACTGGAGGTCGTTTGATCGCCAGAAGGTCGCGTTAACAAGGAAAATACGGGGAACTATAAGAGTTCAAGTTTGAATCGAAAGAACCATGCTTCAAGAATTCGCAAACCCTTTATCAGCACCTATCGCCAACCAAAAGCTTCACCACTTCCCTCTTACCTTGTTAAATCGGTGTTCCTCGATTCCCGAATGCTCACCGATCCAGAATCTCCTGGAAGAAAGAAATCTCTTTCAATACCTTCAATTTTATTACGTCCTAAAGAAATTACGAGTTAAATTTTTGTCAAATTGGAGTCGACAGTTTCTTCTTCTAAAAGAAGATGTTTAGGGTTGTGTCTAAGGGATGCATGGGAGAATCCGTGAATCCCGTCGAAACGGAGGACGCAGTGTACTCTTTTTATTCAAGGATTTTCGACTAAGCACCACGGTGTGCCCGCATTGTCGCGTATTATTATCGCCGGGAGGCAGCTCGAAAGCCCGAGCGTCGGATTCGAGCACAGGAAAGCTCTTCGGATAATTTTGGACGACACGGCCTATTGTTCCAGCGTCGAGACTTAACGGTGGCGCAACGGAAAGCCTCACGGCTTCGCGAGCCAAAGAAACACGGACGTTGATTAAGGGGACGCGAGGATCAGGCCAAACGGTTCCTTGTTAGAGTGCCGGAGACAAAAATCGTACCACTTAAGCGATAAGGTTCTTTTTAAACGCGATGGTAAGATCATTGAAAGCTCATTGCATTAACTGGAAATTAATTGTATACGTTCGTGGAAGTTAAAAGGGTTTAATACACATAATTCATAGCATTTAAACGAGCATTGCACGATAATCACGTAGAAAGAGTTTAGAACCAAATAAGCACTATCAATTTGTCACCGTGGAACGATAATACCGATCGAAACAGGGTCTCTGAACGACTCTGAACGTCCAGTAATTAAATGGCAGGGGGGTATAGTGTGTATTCAGAATCGACGAAGGAGCCGTTGGCGCAGCAATGCATTAATTAATCACGAAGAACGAAAAGGAGACGACCGTGGCGCAGGAGCCTCGGGGCTAAGTGAAAAGCAAGCGGAAAGCGCAATTCATTCGGCTCGCCTGACGAGTATTTGCGAAAGACAATAAAGGAGAGTCGAGTGAAACGGGAGCGCCACAAGTGCCTTTTCCTCGAGTGCCCGTCGTAGCTGAAGATTTTGGTTCGAGTCGGGGACTTGGAGAAGAACGAGAATCGGAAAGAGTCGTCGTAAGGGAACGATGTCCTGTTCTCTGCGGAGAATCGAAATGGACAAAGGAGCCAAGAACAAGGAGAAGGGATCTGTGCCGTGCGTCGCGCTTTTTATTTTACCGGGGCTCTGGCTTTGCGAGCGGTCCTTTCAGAAGGAAAATTTGCAAATACGGGCAGTGGAACTCGGGGAGATTGAAACGGAATGCGTCGAACGGCCAGCTGATCTTTTTCCCCTGTTCAATCCTGTTCCTAGTACACGCGCCGAAGCATTTCGAATGCATCTGGCACACGTTTGGCCAGCGACGCGATCCAAGGAGTAGATAAATGCCGGTTTTCAAGCCTTCGAGCGTCTTCATTTGTCCACGTCGCCACCCTTTCCGTTGACACGCGGAAAACAAACGATTACGAGGGCTCGTTTTATTTTTGAGCATCGTGGCCGTGCTAACGGGCGTCGCAGTGAGATACAACGAGCTCCAGCGAGCAGCTCGAAACAACGATTAAACAGTTAGCAGGGGTAATTAAGATTCATCGTAAGATTCGGCGCAATTAAAAGATAAGAGCACCGCGATAAACTCGAAACGCGACGGGCCAGGATAAGAAACGTTTCTTAGTTTCCCTCGCGGAGGTGCGAGCGAGAGCCACGGGTAGGAAATGGAAAAATTGTGGAACGCGCTTAAAGCAATTTTCCGTCGCGCTTGAAAATCATGGCAACTTTGTTTGGCGACGCGACGAAGCTCTGAATGAAACGATAAAAATTCCAGCGACAAGCGGAGCGGATCGAAGGAGAATAAAACTGTGTATCCCGGGAGTAGAAACGGATTAAAATTTTCTGCGCAACAGTTGTAACGGACGGGGAAAAGTTGCGAGAGAATGCTGAAAATTTGAACGCGCCGGAGTTCCTCGAGAGTGGATTTTCGACTTGCGACGATACAAAGGCACCGATGATCAGTATTTTTACTCGATCTAATTTGTTTTCCATCCTTCGTTATCGTAACTTGTTCGCTTTGTAGTATTTTGTTTCACGTTTAAATTCATTTTATGCTTCTCTTCGTAGGAGGACCAAATTAAAATGTCTGGAACGTTCGGTTTGGAGCACGTTGTAATACTTTGTCGTATGTAAATTTATTTTATGTTTCCTTTGTTGGGAGGACCGAATTAAAATAGTTGAAACGTTCTGTACCAAACCGTTTGCAGAACATTCTTATTAAACAGTCCACTTTTTAAAATATAACATAAAAAGAAAACGGAAATCTAGTGATAAAATATAAAATCAGAAGTACTCGAGATAAAAGTCTCGGGCGAATTTTCTCAGGAGAGTAATATATTAAAAACAGCAAAGTCTTTAACATCTACAATGATGTAAGTGTAATCGTTTCGTGTAAATAATGGACGAGTTCGTCAAAATGACGATAAGTCGGCTGTAATAATAATTCCCATTACGAAACGCGGACTAAGAGCCGTGGGAACGGCGACGAATCGGACAATCCCGCGGGATTAACATTTTACCTCGTTTAAAAAACAAAGGGAAGGGAAAAGTGGCCAGCGAACACGTTGGAAAAGAAGAACAGAGGACGGATTAATTCGATTCGCTGTTCCATGAATACCGACGAACGGCTGTCGTGATCGCGAGGAGCGAACAAACGGGAAGAGATCACGAGTATATCTTGCGAGTTACGCAAAATCCAATCGAATATTCAGCGAGTGGAATCCATATTCAATCGGTCGCGGAAAGGAAAATATTCGGGATCCGTAGAATTGTCCTCGCGAGAAATAAAGAATGAACGAAGCTTGTGTCGAGCTGTGCAATTTTCGGATCAACTGTCCGTTTTGCTGTTCGGCCTGAGAACACCCTGAGCGATGCAAAGTGGGGAAAAGGCGAGAGAAAAGTTTGGTTAGAGTTGGAAGGATTTATTTAATTCCTTGGAAGCGCGGTATTTTTTCAGTAGACGGTCACCGTAACGCAAGTAGCGGGGAAGAAGATGAAACATTACTAGTAGCACTATTTTTCTAGATGCTTTATTTTATTCCAGGCACTCTTGTGGAAAATTTAATTGTTTTCTTCTTATAGAAAAAAAAAAAAAAAACACCAATTCGTAGAAATTAGGAATTTTATTTATGCCACGCTTTCGTAGCACGCAAATGATAAATTTATCTCGCGAGAAAATTCCGACTCGTAGAGAAATAAATCTGCCTTTAGCTCCCCAACCAATCAGAAACCGGAGTGAAGGAAAATACGTCGCCGCGAAGTAACAATTTCCACCCCTAATCGTGGTGAGACGTCTACGCGAGAGGTCGGATAAGAAAAAGCCACGATAATTTAACAATCGCGTGTCCCAGCGCCGGGATTAAAATTCAGCCCGCGAGAGGGAAGAAAACGCAGCCTTAGGAGACCAAGAGTAAAAAAGGAAGGGAAACAGAAGGAGGGTGGAGGAGGAAGAAGGACAAAGGAAACCCCAGTGACAAGATTGGTAGAAGGATGGCCGCCCACGCGTTTGGACGGCTGCTCGTTTCGCAGACGGGTCACGTAGTCGCCCGGAGATATTTATTATCCCGTTTAAAAATTTGCATCGAAGAATCGGGGTGACTTATCGCGGCCGATGTTGCTGCTTTTCCTCTCCTCGAAGCCACGAAAACTTACGGAACTTTATTCTCTTTCGATGTTCTCGTAACACACCCGCCTCGTCTCTGTATTCAATTTTCTATGGAAAAGGCAATAAATCCGCGATGAATCAGCGTGAAATTATAGTTACCGGGCCTCCGTCAAAACATGTAAATTCTGAGCACGATTTCATCCCCCACTGACTCAACGCGAAGACAATTTTAGGGGGTCGTGATTTCTTTCACTTGAACGCTCTGAAGATTTCAAAACGAAATGTGGAGAGAAATATGGTCGTGGTTTGTTATAAATTATTGTAAAGGTGACTATTTCTTGGGTCTTGAAACTCTAGGTAGATATTTAACGAAGTACCTCGAAATTATAGGAAACTGACAGGAGGTAATTTCATTGAATAATTTTGCCGTTAACAGCCATTTTCAAGGTATCCATTTATAAAAACTGCATATCAATTAACGGTAACAGAAGAATCGTAATATAGTAACGTGATATTAAATCACAAAACAAATAACATCGGTTGAGATTTGCAAAATCCAGTATATCTTTTAAATATATCTTTAAGCATTATATTTTAAGTATATCTCATCCCGAATTATTTACATTTGTAGTACAGCAAAAAGAAAAGTAAAGACCGATTTGATTTGCCACACACCACCGTCTACCATGGCACGAAATTGTTGCCTCGGAGAATTTCGGCGGCGCTTGGCATTAGAACGCGATAAGAGCCTAGATTGAAGGGTTATCCTCGCGAATTCCGTTTCATCTGGTTAATGCACTTTGCCCGAAGTTCGGAGGTCGAAGTTACGAGGGTGACGATCGGAGTAGTTGTGCCGCGTACACGGCTGTATTATTAATATGAAACGCGGCGGGGAAACTTTATGCATTTTCCAGGAGCCTGTACGTGCACGCGTTCTAAATCTGCCTTGGAGGAAAAATGAGCTGATAAGGAACTCGTCCCATGGTCGGGTTCCTCGACGCAAATACCGGAAACTTTCCAGGAACAATGAAACGTCGAAGAGAAAATGCTGAACGCGCGTCGGCCTGGCCTAACTCTAAATATAGCGATCAATTTTTTTTTTTTTTTTTTTTTTTTTATAGATCGAGAAACCCTTGGTTCATGGTTGAAAAAAGAAATTATATAAAAAAGTGCAAAGCGCCAGATCAGCCTAACTCGAAATATAGCGAGGGATGTCTGCTTTTGGATCTGGAAACCTTTCGTTCATGGTCGAAAAGAGAATTGTATATGGAACAAAGTGTTTACAGGGTCTAGTTTTAGTGTGATGGTTACGAGCGCTACATGTTGGTAACTAATATTCATTGATATTCTCGTTGGGACATGTACGTGATATTAAAAGGTAGCTTCGGTATGGTATGTAAATAGTGGAATAATATTCAACATGTATTCGATGATATGTAGATGATATTTGACTAGGAACGAATGATATGGAGTCCAATAATACTTGGTAAATATTCAATAATACGTGGAGAATAATGCCAGATGAACCAATGTACCGCAAAAATTGAAGAGAGAGTTTTTAATTAATATTCATTGGGACGTCCATATGTGGAACAATACTTTAAAGATATTCAACTACAAACGAATGGTATGGAGTCGAAAAATAATGAAGGATACTCACAGGAAAATTACCCAAGCATTAATGGTCCCAAAGGAACTAATGGCACACAGAAATTGTAAAGCGATAGTTTCCCCAGTACGCTATAAAAATGATTACCAATATGTATCGCAATTGTTTAATTGATTCCAGCACTACTGGCGCGTACATTGCGCTCCTAATTAACATTTACCACTACCGTCACGGGACTATATAGAAAACATAGAGTGATACGCAGCATCCGGGAGTCAACAGTGCCTGGTGAACGACGGGATCGATGACGTAGCGTGAATTCATAAGCGGTGTTATTGTAATTAACATACACGTCGGCCAGACTGCCACGGATAGAAGCATCGAACCCGGTAATTAATTTTCGTAGCTGCTATCGGTAAATTTCACGCGTGTCCATCCCGATCGAGTCACGGAGCTTAATGTACAAATAGTGCCGCGCTGGTGAATAAGTTGCGTCGATTCGCGTTACAAAAGAGCATAAATCAGAGGCGAAATTCTCGTCTGAGGAAAAACGTGAAAGACAAAGTGGTCTGCTGGTTGAACGAAAATTAAAATTTTAGTTGCAGTGAAAAAGGACTTTTTCTCCTATACTGGTATAATTAACTATTTGCAACGTTGGTGTTCATTACATAATGTACTTTGTGTTTCAGGTGGAGAGAGAGAGAGAGAGAGAGAGGAACAATTTATCGCTGAAAATAGTGGATTATTGATGGACCAGTGGAAGTGTAGAGGAAGTCCAAAGGATGTAAAGAGAAATGGTAATAAAATTCAATTTAGCGATAAGAAGTTTATGCATCGAGTAGTAAAGGTGTACACATTTTCTCAGGTAAATTCCTTGTATCATACAGCATTACAGTGCATAAAGTATCAATAATATAAATCATATATCAAAATAATCACGAAGCAAGGACGTAGTAATCACTGTCTTTCTACGGAATAAACATCGCTATCACGCGTTAATTCCATTCATCTATTGCTCCAATAAAACGGAGCTCTCTCCCCTCCAACGCGAACCAAGTTTCTTCCCCACGACTTGAGCACTTCAAGACCCGAAACGTTAATAGCGTTGAAGATTCCTCGCAGTTCCAAGTTCCCCGCGAACTTAGGTGTTTCTTCTCGCGTAAATTGCAACGGTATAATTACGAATTCAATGCTCGCGAGGAGCATTATCGATTCCCCGGCAAACAGAGAAGTCACACTCGCTTTCCCCGAACGGACGGGACTGCAGTTTCGTGGGAAGCGTTTTACAACGCGGAGATCGATAAGGGCGGTAGTCGGTGGAGGGTCCTGTGTCGAGGGTAAACCGATTGAGACTAATCAATTGGGCGGAAGTGGTCCTAATGTAAACCTAACCCATTGCCTCATGGACAAACACGAGATGGTCGAGTGTCCGGCTATCGAGGACCTGTCATTTGTCCTTGGTCGATCGATTGCCTGGAGGACCGATTCGAGCTTGATTGTCCCTTGAAAAATCTATCCTATCCCTAGGTAATAAGTCTCTGCTGGGATTATACTCGACCGAGTCGTTGAAATTTGAATCTTTCTTAAACTAAAATCGAAAATATAGGTTTAGAGGGCGTGGAAATAATTTGTATAACATCTTGGATAATTGAAAAAATTGTTGAAGCTCTTTCACGGCTTCGCCTGTGTACAGATTTTCCTCGAATAAAATTGATGTAATTAAAACTACTCACCAGCGAGTGGAATAATATGCAACGTTCGACCGTTTTTGATAGATCGGACGCCCTTTTTTTCCCCGTTATGCTTTCTCGCGAGTGACTTTGGAGAAATTAAAGCCACGCTGGGAAAGTTTTAATCGCTAACACGAGTTGGCTTCGCGTGCAAACGCCCTCCCTCGGGCCAATTAAATTTTGCTTGCCACTTTTCGGCCGCGCAAAACCAGTCTTCTCCCCCTGTATTTGCTTTCTCGACATCGGGCCACTTCGTGGCCTCTTTCTGGGGAATTTTAGTTCGAGTGCGGCATTCCAAATCGGTAGTAAAAAGTGCGAGCGTCTATACGGCGGAATATAAAAGTATGTTATAATAATAAAAAGGAATACAAGAGACTCTAATAAAAATACGCATAACGTAAATGTAAGAACGATTTATTTCACATAATTCTCCGTGTACATCCTCGCAATCTCATTTACAATTTAAACATCTGATTAATCACTTTCGTACTCGAGCACTCTTTCAATTGTTTCAGATGTATTCTAAGGTTCTTCTAATATTTTTACCACCCGGCTGGAGAGGACCGCAACACATCAAGGATCTTCTCGACAAACATATCCTTGGCAAATTTCCCAGCTACAGCCACGCTTTTCTCTTCAAAGCCATACCTTGTTCTTCTACTCCGCGATATTAACAAACACATCCCTGAGTCAATTTCGCCGGCTGCTCGTCTCGGTGAATCTTTTCGGCGAAGGTTGTTCCACGCTGAGAAACGTTGCAATTAAATTGGTGCGCTTTAGGGATCCGTGCGTGAGCCGTGTTAAAATGTGCAGGACGCGTGTCGTGCATATGTAACAGATGGGAACGAGACGGAAACGTGAAATTGCGTTCGATTGGCCGAGGTACAGCTCGAGAACTCCTGAGCCAGTGGTGTCACCGATCGCAGATCTGGCTGGTGACATTTCTACGTATTAATAACTTGTGAATATAATTAAACTGGTGTATATAGGAATGGTTTCTAGGGCAATGTCGTATTTATTTCCGCGATTCGAATGGTGTTCTCTTCGGGAACAATTAATACTACGAGTTATCATTAAATGTGTTTGAATGGGACTGAAATATGATGTTGCTCGCATGACGTTGTTTCGTGAAGAATATTTTTAGCTGGTAGGGACGAAAATGTGACAGGCAGCTGCTAGTCTTGTCTGAGATTCTACCGGTTAATAATAACCCCTTCTTCAAGCTTTTCCTTGGCTCTTTCGATGCGGTACTCTCTTTCTGCGTGCTCTCGACGGGACGGTCTCGCTATATTTCTGTCTACCGCGAGGATGACGGTAAAAAGAACGAAAAAACGCGAAATACGCAAGGCTCCCACACGAGGCGGCCCCTTTGACGATGAAACGAGCCGTCGATGGATCTAACGAATCAAGTAGTTCGACGGATCGTGAACATTCAGCGACCTACGTAGGTGACTTTCCATGAAATTGTGGATGAAATTATAGTTTCCAATTGTAAGATAAATTGTTGAAATAAATGATACGACAATATTAAGGGTAATTTTAAATTTCTCTAGCATCTTCTCATTTCCCTCACACTTTCTCCTCGTTTCCCACATACTTCCTAACACCACCTGACATTTCCCTGTAATCTCCCTTCATTTCCTGACACATATCCTTTCATTCTCTGGCCACCTCCTTGCTCATCATTGTTCTCTTAATACAAAAGGTAAGTTTTCAGCCAGAATGAAAAGTTATGCCACATCTTCTGACACAAAAAGGTAAGTCCCGAACAAGAATTCAGAACTACGCCACCTCCTCGCGTATCTTGTTCTCCTGA